CTCATGTCGGTTCAACTGGCTAAAGTTGCCGAGGTAGCCAAAGAAAAAGATGAGCAGCTCACGAGGTTGAAAGCTGAGCTTCAAGCTGTCCGCAAGGACCGATCTGATAAAGATGCTGAGCTAATCCAATGTCGCGAGGCTCATGAAGTTGCTATGGGTAAACTCCGACAAGAGATGACAACCACAGCTGAGCTCAAATATCAAGAAGGCATAGATGCCGGTAAAAAAGCCGTGGCGGATGCCGTGACCGAATGGGACCTGGAGTTAAATGTCGCACTGACACTTCGCTGGGTTATCGACCGAGTAGAGAACGGTATTTACAGCATTGATGAGCTGCGGATCTTCCTTTTAGAAAAAATAGAGAAGCATCGCCTCAACCCTGAGATGAAGAGTGCCCACATACCAGCGGATCAAGATGAGCGAGATTTCGCCGACCGACTTCTAAAGCAGAAGGAGAGTCGGATGCTGGAATTGGATATGGTGACTTTGTCGGAGGAGCGCAAGGCCAAAATTCGTCGGGCGTTTGTCGATATGGTCCTTGAGGTGGAGAAGGTCAAAAAGCCCGAGATGGCAAATATATGCGTGGAGACGATTGCTGAGGCCTTTGTCGTTGAGACACTCGAAGGCCTATCTGATGAAGAGCTCCTGGGCGCAATTACTAGCTTCGCCTTACGAAAGGTGGCAGAGGACGACGCCAAGGCCAAAGGATGGGTGGTTGAACCAGTTCCCTCCGACGACGATCGTGTTTTGCACGAGGATGATGATGTCGTCATCATAAAAGAAAGCGATGTCGTCCGAGCTTTGGAGGAAAAGGAAGAGAAGGTGATTCAACGCTTAAGCCAAAGGTTGATAGATCATCTGGATGCTGCAGATAAAGGCAAAGCTGATGCCGGGAATCCTCAATCTTCAACAACTGGAGGGGCGTCGTCATCGGGAACGAATAAAGATGAATGAGATCTCATATTGGTTGTTTGTTTTTATTTTCTTTTTCTTGATTGGAATGTAATGACAATTTCTTATTATGAATGAAATTTGACTATTTGAATTCGTGTTTTATGAATGTATAGTTTTGACATATTTATTGTAACAAGTCAAAACATGTCGAAGCAAAGATAAATGAATGTTGAGTAAATTATGCTTACAATTATTCCGACGTAATACTTGGCATTAACACTTTGCCTCGTTATGAGTTTGTTTAAATTTTTGGTGTTGGCATAATTTATAGTATATTCGACATCTGCAAACTCTTTATCAGAACAAGTTGTAAAAAACTTGCTTTTATTGCAAACATTTATTGTGAGCTCATCAAATCAACGTCGGGATTTGATATTATAGAGCATAAGCCTCCGCAAACCATCTTCAGGGCTTGGAAGTATCCGGCTTTGTCGCGTTTGGCTAGATCATACCAACTTTAGGGTATGAAACACGTTTAGCCTTAGCAACGAGGACCGATTTATTGTGGTCCGAGTGATCGAACAAATTATAGTGGTTCGTCACACAAACTTTATTGATAACAAAACGTGATTCTCGTACATGAGTTGATCAAAAGGTTTCTATACATCGGAAACAAAGGTCCGACTTTCAGGTTTTACTGGTAGTACTTCTTGAGATAAGTTGCATGCCAAGGATACTGAAGGGGAATGCCATCTAGAGTTTCAAGTCGGTAGGTACCATTAGAAATCAGACGATTCACTTTAAAAGGTCCTTCTCACTTCGGTTGTAACGGACCGACATTGGCCCTGGTGATTCTCTTCAGCACAAGGTCTCCTACGACAAATGAGCGTGGCTTGAGTCTTGAATTGATGTACTTCTCACTACGTCGTTTATAAACGGCATTTTGAATTTCAGCATCAACCAGTAATTCATCAACCAAATCAAGATTGGCTTTCAAGTTTACCGAGTTGGTTTCTTCGGAAAAATGAGTAATCCGATATGTTGGATAAGTAAGTTCAACCGGTATCACAGCTTCAGTCCCGTATGCTAATAAAAATTGAGTTTCTCCAGTTGAGTTTCGTGTTGTCGTCCGGTAAGACCAGAGGACATAAGGTAACTCATCAGGCCAGGATCCCTTTGCAGACTCAAGCCGAGTTTTCAGACCATTCTTGATAATTTTATTTACAGCTTCTATCTGTCCGTTGGCTTGTGGATGATAAGGTGACGAGAAGAAGTGTTTGATGTCGTAATCTTCACAAAAGCCTTCAAATCGCTTCCCTTCAAACTGACGACCATTGTCGGTTATGATGGAGTTCGGTATTCCAAACTGACAAACGATTGATTTCCACACAAAATCGATCATCTTTTGTTTAGTGATGGTTGCAAGAGGTTCGGCCTCAACCCATTTAGTGAAGTAATCAGCAGCTAATATTGCAAACCGAACACCTCCTTTTGCTGTCAGAAGTGGGCCAATCAAATCAATTCCCCATTTTGCGAACGGCCACGGGCTATAAACTTGAGAAGTTCAAGATGTTAATTAACGTTGGGAGCAAATATCTGACACTTGTGACATTTTCGCACCCAGTCTGCGGCATCTTTCCTGATAGTCGGCCAATAGTAGCCTTGTCGGAGAATCTTATGGGACAAGGCTTGTGCTCCTTGATGAGTACCGCATACTCCTTCATGTATTTCTTGAAGAACACATCGGGCTTCAATTTCTGACAAGCACTTGAGTAATGGAGTAGAATATCCGCGCTTATATAATGTTCCTTGATCAATTGTGAAATGAGCAGCTCGAACACGAAGAGTGCGAGCTTCTTTTGGGTCTTCGGGTTCGGCCCTGGTTTGGAGATAGTTGATGATTGGATCCATCCATGTCGGGTCTGGGATTAATGAGGCAGCGTCGATCATGACGAGGTAGAAACTGTTGAGGAAGTCGTCTGTTGAGTAATTTGCACAAACTCGACATTGTTCAAATTGGTTGAAGAGGCCAAACGTGAAAGAGCATCTGCTTGAATATTAGATGACCGAGGTATATGTTCTAACGTCATTTTGAACCGTGATAGCTTCTTCTTGACGAGATCAAAATAAGGCAACAACCGTGGTTCCTTAACTTCGTAAGTGCCGTTAACATGGCTAACTAGTAACTGAGAGTCAGAAAATATTCGAAGAGAGGAAACATTCATGGATTCAGCAAAGTGTAGGCCTGATAAGAGGGCCTCATATTCAGCTTCATTGTTGGTGGCCGGGAAAGTGAATGCTACAGAGTAACAAAACACTTGTTGATCAGGACTAACTAGAACAATTCCTCCTCCAGCTCGTATAGTAGTGGACGATTCATCAATTTAAAGAGTCCATGTCGGATCTTCAATGGATGTACTGACAATTGGGGTAAACTCAGCTATGAAGTCAGATAACACTTGAGCTTTGATGGCAGTTCGTGGTCGGTACTGAATGTCAAACTGTCCCAATTCTATTGCCCACTTAATCATCCTTCCCGACGTGTCAGGTCGGTGGAGGACTTGTCGGAGAGGGTATGATGTAAACACAATAACAGAATGCTCCAGAAAATATGGGCGCAGCTTTCGTGCAGCAATGATCAGTGCAAAGGCTAATTTCTCCATATATGGATATCGCAATTCAGCGTCATGTAAGGCCTTGCTAACGTAATATATCGAGAACTGCTGAAGCCCATCTTGTCGTATAAGAACAGCACTAACAGCGACGTCACTTACACCCAGGTACAAATACAAAGGTTCGTCAGGAAGGGGTTTTTGCAACGTCGGCAACCGCGAAAGAACTTCTTTGATATTGTCAAAAGCATTTTGACATTCCGCGGTCCATTCGAACGGTTTCTTCTTTCTGATAGCGTCAAAGAATGGCTTACAATGATTCGTCGACTTTGAAATGAATCGGTTCAGAGCTGCCAGTCGACCAGTTAAAGCTTGGACACTTTCATAGATGTCGGAGGAGCCAATTCAAGTATGGCTTGGATCTTGGCAGGATTGGCTTCGATTCCTCTCTGACTCACCATGTATCCTAAAAATTTTCCTT